AATACAGTGATTTCCTTAAATACTTTTTTTTTTCTTTTGTAAGTGTACAGAACTAAGTGACAATTAAAGTGCAATTTGTTTTACAACTTTGTGGTATTTATTCGTATCATCATCCATACCCACTTAAATTTTCTTACGATTAAAACTAAGTTTAATATTTTTTTTTTTTTTTTTTTTTTTTTTTTATGATTTGCAGGTGTAAAATAAATTCAATTGAAATTGTTTCATAATTTTATTTATTGCGGCATTTTCTCTTCGTTTTTTAATGATTCATGATCATACAATTCAATCGACATTGAGACATAGCTAAAAGCTATTACAGATACTATAATACGGTATCTCTACTTAAATCCACATCTAACTAATTCATACTAAAGAATATGGTATAATATGCTTTTTTTTCATTGCTTACTCGAGAGTTATTTCAAAAATGTACAGTGTCCTGAAAAAAAATCAATTTTGATGAAACGAGCCAGGGAAAACATTTGTGTTGTATATTATCGCAACAAGATTTGAAAAGCTTCCTGTACGAGAGAGCAAAAAAATTTTAATTACAAAGTGTAGGTACAGGCGTTTCTTATGGATAAAAATCAATTGAAGCGGATGATCGATAATCACAATGATTATATGATGATAAAATGTACATCGGGAGTATAATATATACACAGATGATTATCAACAAATATATATAGAAGGGACGCTACGGAAATAAAGTTAAACAAAGCTTCGACGCACCAAACTTGCGCCAAGTCTCGTTGGCAAGATTTATACTATATAGGGTTGGCTAAATTAAAATTTTTTTACTTACAGCTGTTGTGGGGATACATTTTTTTTCGGGGAAAGGGGGACCCTTCATGGACCGGCTCTTTGTTACGTGGTACCAATATTATATCAAAACAGAGTATCAGTTTTGTTTTGCATACGAAATACAAATATATATATATACTCTCACATCGTACAGCAACATAAGATATAATATGTGAGACATGGCACTGTGACCTGTAAAACAAAATGATGTATTTAAAAAAGATATTCGTAAACGATGTACATTTATAATAAAACCCTTTATTTTTTTTTTTTTTTTTTACACAATCAGTATTTACTTTTAGGTACTTGCTTTCCAACTGTTCATGCGTGTATGCTGTGTAATAAAATATACGTGTTTTTTTCGTATTGGCCGTGTCGCAATGTAACCAATGTAGTAGAAACGTACAAAGGCGCATTCCTCGCGTGCATATAACTACTGTTTTGTTTGTGCGTGTATCCGTATATTATACAAAAAAAAAAAAAGGAATTTCGCTGTTCAATCTGATACGTGATGACACGCGTGTTACGTACATTAATTGTTTTGTTGTGTGTATGATGTATACACATCGTGAACCTTTTGTGTTGTTTTAATCCTTTTTTAGATTAATAAAGCCCGTTACTTGGAGAGTAATATGCTTTAAATGCACTATTGGCATGTAAGGTGTTGTTTGCTGCTGCAACTGTTGTTATACCTATATATACCCATACTGCGCTGGAAAATTGAACAGAAGCGAGTTTGATTGTAATTTGCGTTTCCCAGTTATTTTCTTTTGCTTCTGTAAATTTGTACGTTGAATTGAACTGAAAGGTCTTTTGGTGAGTTTTTTTTATAACCAGCCTCGAATGAAACCATTACCCTGAAAATCATGATAGGAGTGGTAAAAATAAAAAAAATAAAAAATCCACGCGAATCGCCAAATGTAGGAAAACACATGCATTAATCAACAACAACAACAACAACAACAACTAAGGGCAAACAATTTCACGAGTTATGAAAAAAAAAAAAAAGTAATATTCCGTTCGCGCACTGCAGAAATAGGTACACCACCCTACGCATAGATACCCGTATTAAGTACAAACACCGCAAAAAGAAAGGGGAAAACAAAGGAAAGTTGTCTGCAAGCTGTGCCGGTTTGAAGGATCGCGCATCAGCACACCGGAAACAACAATCAGACAGTTTTCGGGGGGTGCGCAGTTGGCCGAAATATTATGGGATTGAGCGGCGAGATGCCCGAGCAGATGGCCACGTCGTACTACCCGACCTTGACGCGCGAGGAAAAGGCGCGAATGCACCCCTGCAAGCGAGCCAAATGGTACGTATATATACACCTAGGGTGTGTGTACACCCATAATAATCCGTGGGAGAGGATATATACCTACCTACACCTCACTGTTGCGTGTGCATATTACAAGGGTCAGAATATATTATATTATACACCTATACTTGTATACAATATTTATTTGGGCGGTGGACACGGTGTTGTTTTTGCAACGGCATCAGATGTTGAAACTAATGGACCGAAGAAGCTATGACAATTGTTGGGTACGGGTATTCCGAATCTATATAGATTACAACCAAGTATAAATGAGTACGCGACAATAAAAGCTGTATCTTACGTGTATAATGACCGCGGGAGAGTTACCCCCACCATATAATATTTTTATAGGTATAAGAGAGTCTTTTATGGTATACATTATACATGTATACGCACGCACCAAATTGCCGAGAGGGAGCTCTCGCTTGTGTACACATGAAAGCTCATGCAAAGTGAGTCTAATCCTTCCCTCCGGCTGTGTGTATCTTACGATATAAGCTTCGATAAAAGCGTAACACATCGCACAGTATATAAGTATATACATCCATGCATGTATATCAAGTCGGCTCTTAAAGTCATACACAGTCGCCGTCTCTGTTCTTGGCACGGATGTGTATATAATATATGTATGTTTGTACATCTCTGGTGGTGCTTGACTTGATACTGCCGCCGACACCTGATGCGCGCACTTGTCAAACATACACACGGTTACTTGTCATGTGCTATGAAAAATAAAATTAAAAAATGTTGTCATGCGATAAGAGAGAAACTCATTGTGAACTATACTTTTCTTTTTTTTTTTTTTTTTTTTTTCGTCTCAAACCCTCCTTTTATTTAATAGGCATGTTGCCGACTTGTATATAATATGTATTAATACAAAAGTTGCAAACATCAACCAAGCCGATCGAGAGCTGAAACAATGGGACCGAGTAAGTGGTGCAGTACACTTATAGTGATGCCGATCTAGCCCAGCATTTGTATTTAACGCTGTTTAATTCCGAGAAACAATCTTAGCTCCGTAGAGGAAATCCGAAATCCCTACACCATTTTTCCCATGCAAGTGCGATACCGCGCGTTGGAGGGAGTAGAGAAAAAGAACGCAACGAAACGAAGAACAACAAAAAAAAGAAGCACACGCATGGGGGCTTACTGGGAATGTCAATTAGGTGTATCACATAATAGACATACAGAGATGGTGATATGTGTTAGCCGATTACCGTTAATCGGCAATATACGTATACAACTGACGATCGAGCATATTACGCGACGCTCTGTCCCATCGTTTTTTTACCCCCTCCCTCTCTCCCGTTGGTTCGGTCCATCCCGTGATGTGCATCGATAATTCAAATAGATTGATCCAAGTAGGTGTACTCGTACATCACGTTCCACAGACAATCTATACATACCTATACATTATTCTACGCTGGCACAAGGGGTGTCATACTATGTACATACTTTCTTTTTCTTTTTGTCATTCCTTTGTATATGATTGTCGTGCGTGTAACGACGGCGCCGTGCGTTGACCTTAATTGACCCCCGCTTCAATTGCAACCGCGTCTCGTGATCTTTGTTGATAATAATTTTTACGGCCATATACTCGGCCTTATGGGTATGGCTAAAAATATCCCGGTGGTTTGGTTTTTTTTTTTTTTTTTAACATTATCCGTCGTCGAAAACGATACCATTACGAAATCGTTGCGCCATGTGCAGCGCCCGACGATCGTAAACGTCGATTATACACCGGGCTTAATCGCTCGCGGTTATGACTCGCTAAGAGTTGCTCTCTATCTACCTCGCGGCATCGTAAAACCGTACGTACACTAGGCTCCTGTTGCTTATACCTGTGCGACATGTATATATAT